GAGGCCCCCAAGACGGCTTCCGACGGCTTCCGACGGGCCAGGAGCCCACCAAGACGGCCAGAGAGGCCACCGAGAAGCAGCCCCCACAGGCCCCGAAGAGGCCCAAGGAGGCCCGCAATATGCCTCCAAGAGGCGCCCAGGAAGCTCCCAGGAGGCCCCAAGAGTGTCCCCAGAAGCTCCCAAGACGCCCCCTCCTCCGCGTCCTCCTCCTCCTCCTCCTTTTCCTCCTCCGCCTCCTGTTCCTCCTCCTCCACTTTCTCCTCCGCCTCCTTCTGATCTTCCCCGCCATCCTCCCCCAAATGTTCCGCAAATGGTTTCCGCAACGGTTGGGGGAACACAGGGCTTGATTGCGTGGCAGAGCTATTGCCACAACGCCCGGCCACGTGGGCGATTCTAGAAGGCAGGGGGCGGCGGTGATTCGTCGCAGGCGTCTTCGACAATACCAACGTCTCAGTACGCACTGTTGATCCCCATCCTCCCCCGTATGATGCTTCTAGATGTGCCAAGGCAGCGCCAAGACGCACCGACGCGACTCTGATATGAGGGGCAACTATAGGGGGGAATAGGGATAGGGAGGGAACATCGACCTGGAATCGGCGATACATTGCCGATAGATCGGCGATAGGCCTCCGGTAATGAGTCCGCACCTTCCTGGGCGGGGTGGGGCATCGGGCACCTGTCGGCGATCAGTGGGCGATTGGGGGTCGATGCATCCCCCCCTATGCCTATCCCCCCCTATCGTTGCCCCCGATGATATATCCCATTATGATAGAGAGAGGGGCCGGCGGCAAGGGGCGAAACCATCACGGGAAATCGGCGTCCCAGAAAGGTTGCCCTGGACGGCTTCGGACCGTCAGGGCGCGTCGGTCCCACTGGTTCGACACGTCGGCGCCCCAAGAACTACATTTTGACGTGATCTGGGACCGCCGGCAGGGCTGAACCTAAACGGTGTTTTTCGTTTTCATTTTGGTCGTTTTCACTCGCTTTTGTCTCGAATCCGCCTTTACCGCAAAACGAAGTCGAAACGAGAACGGCCCACGAAATCACCAAAAACATCGTTTAGGTCCAGCCCTGATTGCCGGGTCGCAACAATGACATTGATTTCGGCGTTGAAGTCCCAGGAACGGTGCCTTGGCACGGTTGAATATTTTCAGACGGTGGCATTACAACGGGGCTTCTCCCAGTGAGAGCAAATCAATCACAGACTATGGAGAAGGAGCTTTGAGGGAGGGTATATTGCAACATCGTTGATGAAGCTTGGGCTGACGTTGGTCCTCCTCCTCCTCCCTACCACGCGGACGAAGACGATGTCGAGATCAAGACCCTCCAAAATTCAGACCACTCGCTGAATTGCGGCGCAATGTGAACTCGACACATTTTCCTACAGCGCGGACGAAGACGAGGTCGAGTTTGCGACCCGTCCTTGTCAAACCACTTGTCGGTATTGTCCTGTTCCTACACTCAATCCCCTTCCTGCAGCGATGTTGCACAAGCATGGTGGCGGGTTTTGCCGCAAGCAAATGGGTATCGGGAAACGTCACTTTGTTGAATTCGGCTCATGAACATCTATCCGTCGTGTTGGTGTGTCCTGCTGCTCTGTCGTGTTACTGTGGTCTGCAATGCTGGTTTGCCTGGCTGCTGTGGTCTACCGTGCTGGTCTGCAATGCTGCAGTGGTCTGCCGTGCTGGACTTTGATCGCACCATAACTGAAAGAATTGCGTCATAACGCAGCTGCTCCAACAAGCCATTCATCGAAGATGTATCTAGCAAGACGCCCAATGTTATGAGACAGAGCGTCGACACACAGCTCATAAAAATCTGATGTGTTGAGGATGTCTCGAGCGAAATGCTCACTTTTATGGGAACGGTTGCCGTAGCACCGTTCGTCCAATATCTCCTTATTCGAGGATGCCTCGAACGAAACGATGCTGTATTATGAGACGGTGTTGGGAACATTCGCTTTCGCAACGAATGTATCAAACGAAATCGCCAGTTGGGGAGTTGGGGTCCTCTTGAGTCCTGGTCTGCATAATCCGCCATGCTGGTCGTGCGGGTCTGCCGTGCTAGGCGTCTTTGTCTGCCGTGCCGCCCTCGATTCAAGACGATGTTGGAAATATGGAATGTTGGTGAGAATGCGAACGAAATCCCTATTCTGGGAAACCTGGCCGGACAAGACCGGGAAACGCCGCTCTTGCAAATGGGGCTCGTGAAAATCATCCGTTGTCCTGGTCTGCCGAGCTGCTGCTCTGGCGCGTTTCGCGCGGAAAGACCTGGCGCGTTTCGCGCAGAGACCTGCGCTGAAGGTCTTAAGGGGCAAATCGAGAGACGTTGCGCGTTCCGTGCGAGACTCCGCGAATCGGGATCCGGGGGCGGGACCAAAAGACCTGGCGCGTTCCGCGCCTCGCAGGGGTGTGGGGCCAAATCCCTGCGACCGCGGGGTCTCGCGCGGAACGCGCTGGGTCTCTGGAGTCCTGGCGCGGCAACAGATCCTTTGCGCGCCGCCAGTTCCCCAATGTGGAGCAATGTTGGCGAGGATAATGTGTGCCAGCGTGGACCCAAAAGCAGGACTCATTGCACTGTGGAAATGCCAGCTATGTGGTGCAATTCCTTTGTTACAATCGTTGTGGCACAATGTACGTGGTGCTTGCTATGTTGTGCAAACTGCGCGGCGCAACACATGCGGCGCACCCTTTGCAGTGCAAGCTTCACGGTGCAAACTACGTGGTGCAAGCTATGTGGTGCAAGCTGCGGGGTGAATACCACGTGGTGTAAGGTACTCGGATCGATCCACCTGGTGAAATATATGCGGATTGAGCTAAGGGGTATTTCCCGTGTGGTGTGCCACAGTTTTGTTGAGATGTAAACTGTGTGGTGTTTGCTATGTGGTGTCTTCTACATGTTCGAGTTTGCGTGTTGAGGAACATGTGGCGAACACTACGCGGTGCAACCTGTCCTGTGCAAGCAATGTGCGCCGACGCTGGATGGTGTGGCGACATTCCGTATTTCGGCCCTCCAGGATCAAGACAAGGCAGAATGCTTCGGAAGGTTTGAATGTTCGATCCGTTCCTGGCCCCCCGAGGCCTCTGGGGACCCGTGGGGATTTTCAGGGAGCTCCGAAAGCATCCAGGGGCAGATGCCGCCGCCCTCCTCCATCCTCTTCTTCGTCCTCCTCCTCCTCCCCCTCAGCCTCCAACTCCTCCACCGCATCGTGCTCCTCCCTCCTGATCGTCTTCGGTCTCACTATCATCCGTATCGTTATTTCCTCGTTGTGCCCACGCCCACATGCTCCTGCTCATAATCGTTCCAAATGTTGATTGTTTCCCGTCTCCGCCTCCCCTCTTTCCCTGCTCCACAATTACACTATACGAGAACTAACATCTTCCCTCCCACGAAGACGCTGGTAAATTGTCCTGGCCCCCTCCGCGTCTTTTTTCGAACAGGGTGCCGCCAAAGTGTAAATAAAATGGTTTCCCAATCTGAACGGTTTAAATTATTTCAGAATGGCACTCCCACTGATGTACCCACTGCAGCACTTCCCTCCTTTAGCGGTTTCGGTTCTTCCAAATCGTGCTCCTGCTGCGGCGTTGGATTCGGTTCCGCGCTTCAAGTCATTGGAAATCGTGCTCACACTGCAGCGCTGGTCTCATGTCCGCGGTTTCAATACTTCGACATCGTGCTCCCGCTGCAACGCTGATCTCAATGTGTGCTTCCCGCTTTCCAAACCGTCCACTTGCATTTCCCGTCCTATGTCATGTCTGGTGTTCTCTGACCTTAGTGTCGACTTGAGTCGCGTTCTCGACGCGACGACGTCGGCTGTGGCCGTACTCTTCAATGCTATGAACAGGTACCATGCATCGCGTACTCTCTCGGGGTCATAGCCCAGCTCGACATCCGACTGTGCGGATCGAGACATGTTACCGGATGGTAGGGAAGGGTAGGAGATGTGACGCTTGCGCACCTAGCTAATCCTCCTCCTCCTCCTGCTCCTCTTCCTCTCCTGCCTTCGCATCTTTCCCCCCCTCCGCCCCATAGCCACCGCTTGACGGGTGATATGGGAACGGAGAGTACATGATGCACCGTAGGGGCCGAATTTCGGGCGGTTACAGACGCTACGCGGCCACAAGCACACCAACGCGCCCCTCAGGAGAAGGAGGATGAGGAGGACATGGGGTGGGCGGCGAGCACACGTAATTGTGCTGCCAGGAAGCCATGCCGGGGGAACGGGCACTGCGGACAAGTACCGTACACTAACTCTGGGCTCGGGGACATTGAGGAACAAAGGCGTAAAAGAAGAAGATGAAGAGGAACGGAAACGAACCCTAGGCCCACAAATGGGGCGCACTTCGAGGCTCCGCAAATCAACCCGCAAACCTGAACACCCTCGAGCATCGAGCGGTCTGGCGGCAGCGCGATAATGTCCTATAGCCTAGAGACCCACTGTGATCCCAAGTTGACCCCGCGATCCGAATGCGACCTCGCGATGGCGCTAAGTTGACTCCAACAGGCGACGGATGACAGCGACAAGAGAGGGCCCGAATACACCCATTTCCATGATTCACTGCATGCTCCTACTCTTCTAAGATCAAAGCAACTCGCAGGGTGAACGTTTCTGGATGGGCTGGTCGGGACAATCTAAAACACATAGAATACAAACTTTCTGAGCTCCGCGCGGACTTCTGAGATCAGCACGGGACACCCCTGGCGGCGCCTGCGGCGCCGCCCCTGGCGCGCTCCGCGCGACAAGGAGGGGGACCCAGCGCTGCTCCAAAAGATCCGTGCTGACCTCCAAACGTTCACGGTGGGCGTTGAAAAGACAGCCTGCCACATCGATCTCCGAAAATCTCACTATCACCGTGAGGCCATCGCCCTGCAAGGGCACCTTCTGCGCATGCGTTTCCCAAGGCGGCGGGCAGCGTGCTGTAAGAGGACCGGGGGCGCCGCATTGCACGCTACCTTGCCAACGCCAGCCGTATGTTCATGAGTTGTTTCTTCTCCGAAGCCTTGAGGCCGTTGACCCTGCAGAACTGCTCCGTGACGTCGGGGCCGAACATAAACACGCCCTTGGACTTGCGGTACGACGGCCCGTAGCCGGGGCCGCCCCGCGGGTCGCCCCACACGAGGTCGATGATGGTGCGCTCCTCCTCGGCCCACTTGTTCGCGGCGTCACCCACGGCGTTCTTGTAGCTCGAGTCCTGGAGCTCCGTCTCGCGGCTGATGGCGGCGATCTCCGCCAGAGTCATGCACTTTGCGTTGACGGGGATGGCGTCCTCCGGGTCGTGGCTCTGGCCCGGGAGCCACTGCCGCGGGTTCGGCCCTGGCAGGCCGGCGTGCATGACGAAGATCTCCTTGTTGATCGTGTGGCACAGGCTCAAGTTGCGGAACGACTCGGAGAAGAGGTCGAAGAGACCGCCATCGTACTTCTTGAAAGTCTCGCCGCAGAACCCGTACAGGATGTTTTCTGCGATGATCTCGTGGTTTCCGCGCGTCAAGTGAACGCTGTCAGGGCACATGACCTTGAAGGCGTAGATCATCAACACCACCTCCATGCCCCAAGAACCACGATCGACGAAATCGCCATTGAAGAGGATCGGGTTGGAAGCAGACGGGAAGCCGGTGAGAGACAGCATGTGCAAGAAATCCCAATATTGGCCGTGAGTGTCACCGACCACATGAATTTTCTGACCGGCAGGCACGGTGATCTCGTTCAACGTCTTATGTTTCTTCAGCAGCTTGGTGCAGTCGATCACCAGGGCATAGGCGTCCCCCTCGCGGGGCAGAGAAATCCAGCGAGTGATGCTCTCATCTGCACTCTCCTCCCCTCCTTTCTGAGAAGACAAGTCCTGATATTTCTTCGTAAAACAATGAAGAGCTATTCGGCCCGATTCAGGGACCAAGAAGCCCGATTGGCACAAGTTGAGCCCAACAATGAAACCCGATGAAAAGTGATCACGCTGGATTGCGCGGACCTGCATGGAAATATGTCGTATCGAGCCAGTTTTCGACCACGGACATACCAGCGCCGATGCTGAACCTAACCTCCGAGGCATCCTTATTTCTCCCTGGCCAGGGGGGAAAAGAGAGAGACAGAACAATCACGATGTGGCCCTCCCAACCACGCCTTGGGAAGCAAGACGCCGTTGCGCTGCTGCTCGGCAAACTGCTTGATCCACGCCTCGTTAAGGCAACCTGGGCCTGTGTAGCGCACGCCGCTGTAGCCGGCAGGGACAGGAAAGCCCTTTGCCTTCGACATCTCGGCGTCGAGGTCGGCCTCCGAAAAACCTCCGCCCCTGGTGGGCCGCAGCTGCAATGACTCGAGGCCGGACTTTGGTCCACATCCATCGCCCGGAGAGCCGACGTCCCAAGACACGCCAGGGAGGGCGGATGTGGATACTTCTAGGCCCTGGGGGGCCCCAGATGTGTCCAGGTCCGCCGCCTCTCGAGGCTCTGGAAGATCGATCCTCCAGGCGGTGGATGCGTACACATCCCAGCCTCTGGAAACAGCAGTAGGAGACAAAACAAGAACTGCACAAACATCAGAGTGAGGGGGCCGAATGGCCTTACACCGTCCCTAGATGCGTGGGTGAAAACGGAGTTCATGGCCTGGATTCCGCTTGTGTGTTGTTTGTTGTCACTGTCGTCATCCCGTCATCCCCCCACGACCCCCTCGTGACCCATTCCGCGACCCACCCCGTGACCCACCCGCGACCCACCCGGCACCAACCCCGTGCGCGGCCGCGACCCACCCACGTTGCTTAGATGAAAAAATTGGCACCTGCGGCGGGCTCGTTGTATAAGGTGTAAAACGATCGGCGCCAGCGGCGGGTCTTTTCTCAGAGCCTCGCAGACTGCCCACGCCCCCGCCGCCCCCGCACCTCTTATCCGCAATTGTTCGGGGGCGAACGCATGCCTGTATGGGCGGCCTCGCGGTCTGGGCCTCTGGGCCGCGACCCCAAACACGGGCACGTGCGGAAAAAAAAAATGGCAGGGTGCCCAACGGCAAATACAGTCGGGGCGTTGACCTAAGGAACCCTAAATAAGGAACGGGGCCTCTTTCTCCCATAAGTTGAACTTCGATTTCCCATGGAAAACTCAGGAAAACAGAAGGCAAACTGTAGAACAATCAAGTAACACCGAGCCCCTCCCCAACGAAAAGGGTTCCTTCTGCAGGGCCCCGGCTGTAGCATGGTCTCTATGATCTATTCTTCCCGTGTCCACTTCGATAGTGCCAAGCTGCGTTTGCGTTCGCGTTGTCGTTGGATGGGGCGCAGCAAGCGTGGGGTCAGGTGCGTTCTGCGTCTGGGTGTTCGTGAAGGGAGAGGGCGCACAACCCATATCAACGAGATCCTCGCGGACCTGCAAACGTCTATGTTTTTTGATCCTCCAACGATCGCGCTCCCCTGCGAACGATAGTACCCATGAGAGGCACCCAGCAAGCCCAGAACCTCGCGAAGAGCAACGTGCCATAATTAGCCGAGCCCGCGCGGAACTTATAGCCGAGCTGATGACAAAGTCGCTCAAAATCGCTTCCCAGCACCCTCCTGCAGGTCGAAACAGATTATCTGTTTTAGCCGTGTCAAGACGTGGCGCCCCGCTTGCTGCTGGCCAGAACCACTGCTGGGCCATCTCGGCCCCCCAGCGGGCTCGAACCCCAATCCCCCCACGAGTATTTTCCCCACCCGCTGCTGCCCGCCCTGTCCCTTGAGATCCGACGCTGCGAGCTGGATCGATCTGCGGTGGTCCTGAGGCCCGAGGCCGGGCGAAAACGAAACAACTGCAACGCACGGATCTCAGGGGACGTTCCAGACATGCCTCGCTCCAATGATTTCGATGCTGGACCCCCAGAAGTCTGGACCACCTCCCTGGGGTTCTATTGTTCCCATCCTGCTTAAGGACCACATCCCAGAAATAATTTCGAGCACCCGGAAAAGTGTCAAAAGAGTGTCGAAAAAGTGTCGAAACAGTCTCCCAGGGCACGGCACGTGAAAACCCTCGAGTTTCGGCAATTTTTGCTGGCGCTCGAAATTCTTCCTGGTGATCGAAGCTAAAGTAGGTTGGAGCATCATAACCCTGGGGCCGAAACCTACGAGCATCTCAAATCTCTGGGCACTCGTCTCGCGGCCCTCCCAACCTGGGGTACCACGCGCCGGCGATCACCGGCGCCGGGGCGCTGGCGGCGCTGGCGCTGACGGCGCACTCCTCGGGGTGGCCAAAAGGGGAACGGCGGGTTCTTGCACCGGACGCGCTGAGGACCACGGGGGCCCTGTGATCCAGGCGGTGCAACGTTCCCAGATCAAACGTTTTCGCTCGGTGTGTGAAGCACGGGGCCCAACACTGGTCTTGTGAAGCAGGGGAGGGGGAGAAAGAAAAAGGGGAAGGAGGGCGAAATAGGGGGAAAGGGGGACATGAGGAGAGGGGGGGTGGAATCAGGGGCTCAGTCGCAAACTTTCGGGCAAATATCCCGCGCAATCCGATCGAGATAAATTCGTCGTGTCTTGGGCACGAGGCGTTATGCACGGCATGCCTGAACTGGACGGAGGTAAATTCCACCCAGCCACCTGAGAAATGTAACATCCGTCCTCGGGGAACTCGGGATACCCTACCAAGCACAAAGACGAGCTGGAAACACTCACTCTTTAACCAGTCGGGCGCAGGCGCTTTGGTAGTGGAGCATTTTGCAAGCGATGCACGCCGTCCCAGGTTCGTTCAGGGCACGAGTGGACACGAAGCATGCTAAGCCAATGGGGGGGGAGACGTGGGCCAGCTTTTCGAATCTCAGCGGTGTCACGGCTGGTCTTCAGCTTCCTCGGCTTTGAACCCAACTTGGGCAACGTTAGCACGATCTGACCAAGGAAGCCGCGCACGGAGCGCAGCCCCCTTCGCGAGGATGCCTGCCACAAGATTGCCCTGAACGACCCAGCTCCCCTCAAGGCCCCAAGCGACAGAGAACGCACGGCGACCTCGGGCCACTCCGACACACCACTGACACGGCTCGTGGCCCCACAGGGAGCCAAGGCGAAAGTGGGAGGGCCCGCATGGCGGGCGGCCTCGGAACAGCTCGGCACACCCTTCAAGCGGTTCGCGGCCCCATATGGAGCTCCACCGAAGACCCCCTGCGAAAAGGTCCGCATGGGGGCCTCGAGCATTCTCGGCACACACCTCACGCGGCTCGTGGCCTCCAAGGGGGCTACCCCCCCCAGGCGCCAGTGGGAGGGACCGCATGGCCGCCTGGGGCCCTTCCGGCACACCCCTCACACGCTTCGCGGCCCCACAGGGAGCTCCACCGAAGACGGTAGCCAGAACTGCGATACTCACAACTGTATTGGGTCCTTCGCCTGGATGCCCTCAAAACGGCGGCCCTGAAACATCGTCCCCCGGACCTCTCCCATGGTGGGTTCTGACCAGAATCTCGAGCGGAATCCAGGGGTGGCGACGAGTAGCCAATTGAGCTTCCCAATGAACGAAAGCATCTGATAGCCTGAAACCCCAAGCCAGGACATCCACCGCTCTTTTTTAATAAGTGGACCCCCGAAATCTGGCCCTCTTCCCTAGGGCCTTTTTTTCCCGGAGAGCGAAAACGGCTGAAAACCAACCCCTCCAATAGTTCTTTGGGCCTCGGATCTCTGGGTAGCTGCAGTTGTGCGTGCGTCACTGAGGATATGCGGGCGTTGTGTTCTATGACGCCGTTGACAGCAAAATCATCGCTCCTCCTCCTCCTCCTCCTCCTCCTCCTCCTCCTCCTCCTCCTCCTCATTCCCCTCCTCCTCCTACTGCTCCTTCTCTTCCTCCTCCCCCTCCTCCTCCTCCACCCATCCCCCCGCCCCTTCCCTGGATGCCATGTCGCGACCGTCGTCGTGCCTTTGGCGACTGGGGCGGATGACTGGGAGCAGGAGAAGGAAGCAGAGAAGAGGAGAAGGAAGCAGAGAAGAGGAGGAGGAGGAGGAGGAGGGGGGGAAGAGGCAGAGAAGGAGGAGGAGGAGGAGGCAGAGAAGGAGGAGGAGGAGGAGGCAGAGAAGGAGGAGGAGGCAGAGAAGGAGGAGGCCGAGAAGGAGGAGGAGGCAGAGAAGCGAGAGGGCGACTTGGCGCTCGGGCCGGCGCGCCTGGAAGCTGACGGTGGCCGGCAGCGCCACCGCCTGGTGGTTGCGGGGGCGCGCCTCCCAGGCGGCCTTGGCCTCCTGCGTGCAGTTGGCGTCCCCCTCCGTGTCCTGCGGCGCAGGTGGGCACCGAGGAGCTGCGCACGCTCTCCAGGGGCGCAGGTCAGCACCGAACACGTCGCACAACTTGCCATCGCTCGGACGTCCATTTCCCGTGCATGTTTCGGTTTCGTGCGTGTTTTTTTTTGCTCGATGGTCCAGGATGGTCCTCGATGGTTCTCGCCGAGAAAAATATGCACACGTCCGAGCGATGCCAGGACAAACAAAGGAGAAACCGCGGGAGGATCTGGGGAACCGGGTGTCCGGGTCCTGGCCTCGCCGCGCCCCGCGCGAGGAGATCGGTCCTTTCAGGTCATGATGACGCCCGTCGGCCACGTCACGATTCGCGCCCACGCCGCGCATGAATCCGCCACTCCCAAAGATTCCCGCGCGGCGGCGGCTCGAGTCGTGACGCGACCAGCCCCCCTTCCGCCGCTCTCACCCCCAGTCGCGCCCGCTATCGCCAGAGGACGACCAACAGAAGAGTGTTCGTGCAGGTCCTGCGCGCCCTCCGTGGACCCGCAGGTCCGAGGCTCCGACAGAAGTTCGAACGGCCGACTCGTGGCCTCTCTCGGCCTCGAGGGGCCCTCGGCGGGCCCCGGGGCCGTCCAGACCAGCTCGGGATGTAAAGCTCGCTCTCGGGAAGTGGTCCGGGCTGGCGCTGAGAGAGTGCCGTTCGCGATCATGCAGATGGCTGGCGCTGAGGCGGAATAACGTTCCCAACCACTGATGTGGCCGGCGCTGGGCAAACACACGATACGCAATCTGGGATCTGGCCAGCACTAAGGCGAAAGCAACTTTCGCACTCATGGATGTGGCAGGGGCTGAGGCCAAAAAAACATCAACGCACTAGTCGAAGTGGCTGGCGGTGAGGCGAGATCGTCCGTCGCCATCGTGGGCGAAGTCTCGCACTGCACGCGCGCAATGGCTCGAGCGCAACCAGCAGCTTTCCCTAAACGAAAATTACAAAGACTAGCAGCGCCATGCGCAGCAGGTGCATCAACGCCACCAGCAGCAGTAGTGCACGCAACACAAATGACACCAGCAGTACCTCTTTGAACAGCACGGCAACAAACAGCACCACAACGCGTACCTGCACCAGCGCAGTAGCAGCACGACTAGAACGAGCAGAAGCAACAACACAACGCGACGCAGCAAACACGGCACACGCAGTATCACTGTGACCACAACGACAGCAAGCAGAAGCACTAAGCGCAGCAGCATCAGCGCAATCAGCAGCACCATTGTGACGAGCACGACGGAGAGAAGCAACTCCAAGCAGAACCACGCAAACGCCACAAGCAGTACCAGTGCGACCAGCACGACGGGAAGCAGCAATACTACGCGCACCAGCAAGCGTGCAAAGAGATGCACCACTGTGACGAGTTCGACGCGCACCAACACCAGTGCCACCAAGCATTACCACTGTAACCAGCATGACAAGAAGCAGCAACACACCACGCGCAGCAACACAAACGCAACTACCAGTTCCACTAGAACGAACGCGACGGGAACCAACAGCGCCAGGCGATTCGCGCTGGACTGCGCGAACGCTCCCACCCGCCAGGCCGGCAGGGGGGGAATTAGTTCCGCACGCCAGCGCAAACCGTCACGGCCCAGATCGCTCGATTTTGCGCGATGGACAGTAAGGGCGCCAAGGCATAGCCCACAGCCTGTCCCGCAAGTGCGGCTGCTCACCCGTCGCACCGCACTTCCCGCGCCATAGCGGAGATGCGCACGACGACCCACAGCGCGTCGGTCATGCAGCAGTAGCACGACCGACACGAGCAATTCCAGAGTGACCAGCCCAATGGGAAGCGGCATCAACACCAGCAGCAGCAGCACCAGCGCAACCAGCCGAACAATTGTCAGTAGCAAGTAGCAAAACAAAATCGAAAACCACTACGTGCAGAAACATCCGTGTCACCAGCAGTACCCCTGTGCCGAGGACTGTCGGAAGCAGCAGCGCCACGCGCAACAGCATCAAAACCACCTACCGCAGCAACGCGAGCAACATAGACGCCACCAGTAGCACTAATGTGACCACCACGACAGCAAACAGCAGCACCACGCGCAGCAGCAAACGCACCACCAACAGCACAGCTGCGACGAGTACCACAGAAAACAACAGCATGACCAACGTCGCACTAGCGACCAGCAGTGCCGCTTTGACCAGCACTTGCCACGCTCTCCGCTTCTAGCGCAACCAGCAGCACCGCCGCGACAAGCACTGCAGCGGCATCGAGGCCACCACCAGCACTAGCGCGAGCAACAACAGCGGCACCAGTGGTAGCTCTGAGGTCCGCACACCAGCAGGCAGCACATTCACGCACACCAGTACTAGGAGCACTCGAAAAAGCAGTGCGATGACCACGAATGAAGCAGCAACACTACGCGACGCAACACAAACGCCAGCAGCAGCAACACCACCACTGTAACGAGCACGGCAGCAAGCAACCGCGCCAAGCGCAACAAAAAACAACGCCACCAGCAGCACTACCGCGACGAACATGACAGGGAGCATCAACGCCACGCGAAGCAACACCACCGCCACCAGCAGCGGCAACGTGACCTACACGACAGGAAGCAGCAGCGCTACGCACATCATCGTGACGAATGAGACATGATCTAGCAGCGATGCGCGCAGCAGCACCAGGCCACCAGAGGCATCATTGTTACCAGCACAATGGGAAGCAGCAGCACCACGCGAAGCAGCACAAGCACTACGAACAAGTTCACTAGAAAGAGCACGACGGGAACTGGCAGCGCCAAGCAATTCGCGCTGGATTACGCGAGCGCCCCCACTCCCGCCGGCCAGACCTGCGGGGGGGAGGCTTTCCCGTCGCCCCAAAGCAGAGATGCGCAGTCCATCCGCGCGAAATGTCGCCGGGAGCTGGTGCGAACCACACCCCTGGGAGCAACTGCCGCTCGGTCCAAGCCCGATCCGTGGTCGCTCCCAAGGGAAAGGGTTGCGCCAGCCGGGGCCTCTAATGGCAGCGCTAACCCAGGAGCGCAAGGGCGAGCGCGAGGATGGTGCAGTGGCTCGTCGTGGGCAGCGCCCGCCGCCTGCCGCCGCCAAGCCCGGCCAGCAGCTCCAGCGCCTAGCACCTGCGCCCTGCGTAGCCTTGCCTGGTCGAGCGCTGGCGCCCTGCCTGGCCCACTGGCACGATAGATGCCCAGCGCAATCATGTGACCGGCTATAGTTCCACCCGTGGCATCTCTGTGGCCATCACGACAACAAGCAGCAGCACCACTCGCAGCAGCACCAGCGCCAGAACATGTAGCATTATGACGAACACGACGGGAAGCAGTAGAACCACGTACAGCACTGCTAGCGCAACCAGCGGCAACAGCGCGACGAACACGACAGGAATCATAAGAACAACGCGCGTTAGCACTAGTGCAACCAGCATCACCACCTTGACCAGCACAACGGTAACCAGCAGCACAAGTGTAACCAGCAGTACCACTGTGACCAACCAGCACGACGGGACTCAGTACCACCAAGCGCAGCAGCACGAACGCCACAAGCATCACCAGTGTGACCAGCAGGGCGGAAAGCAGCACCACCATGCACAACACTACCAACGCCACAAGCAATACATCCGTGACCAGCAGAATTGGAAACAGCGACACTGCGCGCACAAGCACAAAAGCGACGAGCAGTACCACTGTGACGAGCACCACCAGAGGCAGCAACACTATGCGAAGCAGCAGAACTAGCGCCACTAGCAGCACAACTGCAAGCAGCGCGAAGGGAAGCCGCAGCAGAACGATTAGCACTACCAGCGCCAATAACAGTACTGCGCAGTAGTACCACTGCGACCAGCCCGATAGGAAACAGCAACTCTACGCACATCAGCACAAACCAAACGAGGAGTATGTGTGTGAGGAACATCACCGGAAACAGGACCAGCGACCAGCACGACAGAAAACAGCAACACCATGCGCAGCACTACTGAAACCACTACTCAGCACTAATATAACAAGTCGCACAACACGAAGAAACCCAAGCGGCATCTCGGCGCCAAACTGACCGTGATGGGGCCGCGGTCCAGAAGCTTGCGCAGCCCACAGGCTTCTGACGCTGCGTCTTCCCCTGTGGCGGGAACGGCACTCGCAATCAAGGTGTGGCGGGCGCCACAGCGATGTTACAATGGATAATCAAGGCGGGAACGACAGTCGCAATCAAGGGTGCGGCCGGTGCCGAAGCGGCAGAGGCGATGACAGCATTCGCTATCATGTTTTCGGCTGGCGCCCGGCGACAGCAGCCAGCCTTTTGGCGAGAACAGCAGTCGCAATCATGCGCACGGCCGGCGCCCAGGCCCTGGGCGAAAGCAGCAATCCGAATCGAGAGTGCGGCTCGCATTGAGGCGAGAACAACAATCGCAACCATGCGTGCGGCCCGCGCCTGGGCGAAAGTGCCATTTTCAATCAGATGTTGCCGGCGCCAGGGCGAGAACGGCATGCTCAGCGAAGGATGTCGCTGACGCCCAGGCGACAACAACATGGTCAATCCGAGATGTGGCCCGCGCACAGGCCAGATCCCCACTCCGAGATACGCGTGTCGCCAGAGTGCAAATGTCACGCCCACTTCGCGTGGGCAGGGCTCGGTGTCACCGAGGTCTGGGTGAGGTTAGGTGGGTAGTCCACGTTAGGGGGATTGTACACCTGCCTCGCCCTGTATCCCCTGGCTCGCCTCCCCATCCTCCTCTCGATAGTCACCCTGCTACCATAAGAAATGCTTAATTAGGGATGAAGCCCCGCTTCGGCGCCAATGGCGACTGGGTGCACGGGGAGCGCCAGAGGAACAACCATGGGAGGAACTAGGGAACACCGATCCTTGTCCGAGCCCGAGCTGTTCTTCACTTCAGCGCCTTGACTGTATTCTCCCCCTCCCCTCCCAAAAGTTTGGCGACTCAGCATCACAACAACTTAGGGCCGCATCTCCTGGTGCATGTTCAGCCACGCCACTGATACCGGGGGCGTCCAACAGGGGGGCGTCCATGGTG